CCCCGCCAGTCTGACATTCATTGTGGGTGTAGCACAGAGACTGGACTTGTAGCCTTGACTGATGATCTTCACTTGGAGATGAACAGAGGAAATTGTACCTTGTTGATCCCTTCAGCAGCCTTTGATAACTGGCCGTGAGGTGTTAAGAACACACCTACATGGCCTAGTGGATATTCATGGGAATGTTCTTGACCGGTTCTGCTCTTTCCTAACAGGGTAACTAACCCCAGACAGTGGTGATGGGTGAGTGTTCATCCTCCCCCCAGGACCTCTTCCTGTGGGGTCTCCCAGGGCTTTATGTTGTCACCCCTCCTGTTCATGTATTTGAGGCCACTGGGTAAGATTATGCAGGGATTTGGAGTGAGGTGCAATCAGTATGCTAACAACACCCAGCTCTCTCTCTCTTTTATCCAACCCAGATCCAGCAGGCAGTGTCTGGCTATAGTTGGGGACTAGATTATGGGTGAACCAACTGAAGCTGACAAGACAAGATACAGGTGATGATGGTGGGCTGATCTCATGACTCGTGGGGGTAGAAACACCCTTACTGTTAGGGTTTAACTTCCCCTTGTTACTTAGGTTTGCAGCTCTGGGGTGCTCCTTGCTACACATGGATTCTCAGATTGTGGCAGTGGCTGGGGCACTTGAGGACCATCAGGGAACCAAAGGCAGCTGCCAGGAACACAGTATTCCAGCACTCCTGAATCTGCTCTGGTTTCCAATAGCTTTCCAGGTGCAACACAAGGTGGCAGTCTTGACCTATAAAGCCCTAAATGGCCTTGGTCCTACATCAGGGTGGGTAAAATGCGGCCTGCCAGGCCATTCTATGCGGCCCACAGGGCCCCTACAAAATTTAGAAAATTAATATTTATCTGCCCTGGGCTGCCTGTCAGGCGGCCCTCTATGGCTTGCCAAAACTCAGTAAGCGGCCCTCTGCCCAAAACAATTGCCTGCCCCTGTCCTACATACTTAAGAAACTGCCTCCTCCCTTATGCTTTATCACAATCCCTACGGTCAGTCAAAAGCAACTTCCTGCAAGTACCATCTCTTTGCCAAGCTTACTTAGCCAAAACATGTGAGAGGTCATTCTTAATTGTTGCTCTCAAGCTCTGGCTCTCTCCCCATCCTTGAGGCCTACCAGAGCCAGACGTAGTGTAAGACCTTCTTATTTGGGAAGCCTTTTAGTCCATTGGGAGGGAGGGGTTAGCTAGGTATTCTTTGTAGTTCTGTGTTATTATTTTATCTGTTTTTATTGTAAGCTACTCTGAGCTTTTTTTGGAGAGAGCGGCATAAAAAAAATCAAACAAAACAAACAAACAGTTACTCTGCATGATTTCTGTAGCAATACAGGCAGTCCTTGACTTGCAACGTTTCGAGTTGCAACATTTCACACTTACAATGTTTATAAATTGATACCGTTTCAACTTTATGACATGAGTTTTGACTTTACAACGCTTGATCCGATGCAACGCCACGCCAGCGAACAAGTTTGCCATGTCGCTCATCTCCCTGGAGAGCATCTGTCCAAACTTCCTTGGACACTTTCTTTAAGAAAGCAGACTAGACTCCAAGAAAACCTGCAGTCAAGACTCCTGAGAAGCCAAAAACCCAACCAAGAGCCTTTCAAAAAGTCCAGCAAAGTCACCTCAAAGAAGTCTTTCCAAATCAATATGATTGCTATTTATCATAGAAATACATTAATGTAGCTATATTACTCATCTATAATTGATCGAGTACAAAATTCTGGGGTATTTTTGGTGAAAATAGGGTATCGGGCCTTGGTTCAGGAACCAACCCCCCATTTATAACAGTTTCTTATGAGAAAATTGGTTCCAAGTTACAACGTTTCTACTTAAGACAAGGTTTTCAGGAACGAATTGTGTCTAAAGTCTGAGGACTGCTTGTACAAGTGTTGCAAATACACTCCAACTTTAACCTCAGGGTCAAAATCAGGTTGATTTTTCTAGCCTATACCACAACAGGACCATGTAGATGGAACAGTTATGGCTAATGTGCTAATATGCACTCCTGAACAGTAGCTCCTCTTCCCTTTTGAAGTGGCTAAAATGCATGTTTGCCCATACCTTTTGATGTTCCTCTGTATGGGCCTGGGTTTTTTTGTTTGTTTTTTTAAAATAAAACTTAATTATTATGGGTGAAATGGCAGAAGAAAAGGGCAGTGAGTTGGCAAATGAAAAGTGGAGGTGTAGGTCATGCACATAAAGCAGCAGGGAAGAAAGAGAAAGAGGTGAGAGTAATATTCAAATTCACATTTCAGAAATGAAAATGTGAAATAAAAATCACATTCAAAGGACAAATTCTATGAGGCTTGGACACACTCTCCCAGAAAGAGAGACTGGAAAACAGAGGACTGTAAAGGAATAAAATAAAAGCATATGCAACACTGAAGAGTGAAGATTTCTGATTTCCCTTCCTCATAAACCAAGAGCAAGGGGATATTTAATGGAACTGAAAGGTAGAAAATTCAAAATTAACAAATTAACTGTGAAGCTCATTACCATAAGATTTTATAGACTGAAATGCTTTGAAGAACTATCCCAAGCAATCTGCCTCTGAAGGCATGCAGGGATATAAAATCAGCTGCTTTGTAAATTTTTAAGAAGTTTTCAGCAGCTCAACTTAAAAGAAGATGTAAACTGGTAAAGAAAATCATGTTTGTGTGCTTCAGCTCAACTGTAAGCCAATAAGTTGTCAATAAACATTAGAACAAAAGCCAGAGTATTAAGATCTATGTTATTCACCCATAGCTTTTGATAAAACGCTCTAAATTAACTATGCAAACACAGGCCAGTTGAATTTTAAAATGGGTGGATAATAAACAAGCATTAGCAATTGTAGTGGTGTGCCCAATAGAGGTAATCACTGTAACTCTTGCCAATGTCTAGGTACCTTATTAAAGTTTCAATGACTTTTACATAATAGAAGTACTACCACTAATGAATCAGCAATTCAATCTAGAGTGCACCTCACATTCCTTGATTCTCTACAACATATTACCAAACAAAGTAAGTGACATAATTGCATAAATTAACACAGAACGGGTACAAAAATCTCTCTGGATATGCCAGACAGCATGACAGAAATAGCTGCCTTAGTTCCCAGTTCTGGAAACACCTTGAGTGTGTCCTTTTGGTATGGCAAGAAAGGATAGACAACTGTCAAATTCAAATATCAAATATAATTTTCACTAGAATAAAACGCACCTCTCCCAAAACAAACTCCAAGTCACTGAACTGCCTGTTTTCCCATAGTCTTCCATAATCTTCATGCAAAGTACATTTTGGGTAACAAGAAAACTGAAATTAGAAAGAAATAAAACTTGTTATAGTTTATTTCACTTCAACAGCTTCATGGTTAATATTGCCACTGAATTTCCACACTGATTTAACATTAACTATTCCTCAGGATGCACCTCCTGCACAGTAATAACTTTGTGAAAAAACTGAAGAGATAGAACACAAAAGCACGACTTCAAAAACTGCAAGTTTCAAGATCTGGGAGACCAGCTGAAATTCTATTTTAAATGGCAGTTTTCTAGTTATCTACCTGGCTGTTTTTGGCCCTTGCTTTATGCGCAGGATGTGTAAGTATACATGCATAGAATGAACAGGCACAGCAGAGCAGCTACATGTGCATGCACCTGAGCCCAAGTACTGGAAAAATGAAGGGGGCGGGGGACAGACCATCTCATGTTTTAGCCCCGGTAGTCAGGCAGGTAGGATGCTCACATGCCTGATTACAAGTCCCAGAAAAATTAGCCCCAGCCCTATTTTTAAGGCTGGTTGCCTGGGCAGTCAAGAGAGGAAGACAGTGTGGGGCCAGAAGAAAGGGAATAAGTTAGAGGGTTTCTAACTCAGTGAGATGCCTGCTGCACTACAAGGGAGCAAGCCTTTTGGGTCCAGCCTACACCTTTACTCCCAAGACAGCAGAAATGTCTCCACTGTACTGCTCTCCATTCATTTTATCCAATGACTAGTAACTGCAAGGGGCAGTGGCTTAGTCTTACAAGCAGAGCCTGGGCAATTCCTAAACTTGTGGCTTGGTGATTAGAGCATAGTGTGGAATAGTCAGAGATGCAGGTTCACCCCCATCTCTAGAACAGGGCAGTGCTAAAACCTTTGTCTCTGGCTTTCTTGTTGAGTACCCTAACTGCTCAATTACTAGGGATAAAACATGGTAGGGTCCTCTTCCCCCACTTCCCCCACCCCTCAAATGCAAATCATGGCTTTCTGGCCAATGACATCTTTGTGACTTAAAGTATGCATCCTGGATAGATGCACGTATGTACACAGGCCAGTGTGTAGTCTACTGCAGATGCCCAGTCTATGTACACACAATTATGAGTCCACACAGGAAACAGAATCACTGTGTACTGGACTAGAAAGCTGTCACTGAGACATACAAAGGGAAACAAAATTCCACCAAGGAGTTTCAGGAAACCTCTCCTCTGAACCCTTTTGCAGGGACCGAAACCAAAAGGGCATTTGAATGTCAGGAATCAGTGGAGGAAAGACTCACCTAGGTGTAGAATACTTTTGGAAATTCCACAACTTTAAAAACTTAACAACCTAAAGTTATTAGGATTTTGCTGTCACAAGGTGTAGCTCTGCCAGCTTGTCCCTGAAATTCCCTAGATTTACAACATGTATATTCCCTTTCTGCCACAAGGGAGAAATACCTCATATACTTCAGATGTATCACTCCCACAATAAGGGTGCTAACTTCTGCGACTTACAGGAGTCAAGAGGAAGACTTGAAGACAATTAGGAAACTAAGAGGGCCCACACAAGAGTAGAATACATTCACTATGGCTTCAAACAGCTTCCTTGCCACCTAGGTCCCTGCCCTCCTTCCTGGTTTCTGTTGTGGCTCTACAGCTGTATCTACCATGCATGTGGCTATACGGAGCCTGGGACACTTACAGCAACACTCTGCAGCTGCCATACTGTCAGCAGTGAAGCAAGGTTAGCATACATGGATAAACAGTAGAGTCAAACTATCCTTATTATAGATGGAAAGTTTGAAGAATTTGGTAACAAACCTCAAATGACAATGCAGAAATAGAGGTAGTTAGCCATGTTAGTCTGAAGTCTGGCAGAAGGCAAGGTAGATATTCACTTCACAAACTAACTAAATCAGAGATGTAGAAACAGTAATTTTTAGAGAATTAAAGCTTCAGTCAAATCACCCCCTTCTGTATTTCAAGCACCTGACACAAAGCACAGAGATGTTAGAGATCCCAAAAGAAATGTCTGTAAGACATTTTTAACATTGGTAAGCTAGCTGACTTGTTTTACCTGAAACATTTAAAAAAGATTTTGAGAGTAAACTTGGAAAATGTCAAGTCAGAACAGTTAAACTACAGTGTTGGCTAGTTAATGACAGTGGGCAATTATAATGGAAAAATTAAACAACATAAACAATTAGGTCATTGTTTCTGCTTGGCACTCTCCTAAATCACATCAGCATAGAATACCTGGAATCTGTACATTTCTCCACTTCTAATATTATTGTCCACTGTCCCTCCAAAGATATACATGGCATCTGAGATGACGGCTGCAGCGTGGAAAAGTCTCCCACTAGGCAGCTAGGAAAACAAAAGCACAAAAAACAGAGCAATATTTGAAAGAGATTTTTTTCATAAAAAGGACTTGCCTGAAAATAGAAGAACATCAATGAGAAAGGGAAGAACAACAACCCTGAAATGAAATAGCAACGCAGGCCTGGACAATCTTGTTGATGTGTGTTAGCTTCTAGGACTGGTTTCATTATATGAAACCATGACTGGCGCTCTTTCCTGCCCAGGTCAGAGCTGATGATCTACTGAGGTCCCTTCTGACCCTAACAACTATGAAGCTATATCTAAAGGATTCCTTTTAGCCACTTTTAATGATACTTCTCTTTCATAAAACTTCTTTGAATTACTGACATTTTATATAAGCAAAGCTATAATATTCTGTAAATGACAGTATCTACCAGAATATGTCCCTTGCTGGGAATCTGTCTCAGATCAAACATTCATTTTCAAAAATAAACATTTCTAGTGCTTATGGATTTAGATATATCTTCCAAAATTTCTGCATATAAAGAGTGCTCGTTCTGCTGACAACCTGAAACAGAAGTGTAAACTATTCCATCGTCTCAGTGAAGCACTAACTCTGAAGCCTGTGTATGACATTTTAAATTAATACATTATTTTATATGGGTCAGAGCAGTTCAGTCACGTGCCTCTCTATCAGTGCTGCCTGCTGAGATGGATTCTGTAAAATAGGAGACAGAAGAGTATCTGATCACTAGGAAGTACAGCTGAAAAAGAAGCCTAACTTGCCCCTTCTCCAGAACATCTAGCCATTACTAGCCCTCACAAACGGAAATAAATATACACTCTACTTTAAAAAGCCTCTAGTCTCTAGTGGGACTAAACTTCAAATTATCGCTTTAATCCCTGACTGCCAAAAGCATCTGGCTCCAATTCCATCTTCCGCAACCCATAGATTTTTAAAGTCAAAGAAACTGTTATGATCATCTTGTCTAACCTCCTGAATAATAAAACCCAGAAAATTTCACCAAGGCCAGAATATCTGAGTTAGGTAGGGACAAACTGAACATGAAGTGCTTCAAAGAGTTGATGTTGTGGTGATGTTAGTGGGTACAATTCCCCAGAGGCTTCTGAGGACAGCTGTGTAGGTATAGCAGTGATTTATGAATAACTAGACAGTCATTTATCCAATGACTAGAACCCACAGGATTCTGCTCAGTGCTTCCTCCACTTGTAGAGCTGGTCAGTTTCATGTCAGGAGGGCTGGTCAGTTTCAAACACATCCACTTTCCTGCAGAAGCAGAGAATTGCTGTCCACCAACCCCTCACCCTCCAGGCTCTCACACGAGTTCTGCTCTCCTGATCATAGCAGAGTTGCGCCCTATGTTGTCCTTCTCTGTACCTTTGCCAATTCCACTACATCCTTTTTAAGATGCAGACTGCCCACAGTATTCAAGCTGTGGATGAACCACAGACTTATACAGTATCAAAACAATGTTTTTTTGTTTCATTTTCTATTCCCTTCTTAACGATACCAAACATTTTATTGGCTTTTTAGGTTGCTGCTTGTGGACACTGAGTCAATGTTTTTAGGGAACTATCAACAATGACTCCAAGGTCTATTTCCTGAGTCATAATGGCTACTTTAGAGCCAGTATTGTGTATAGATAGTTGATGTTATTTTTCCAGGGTGTATTATTTTGAACTTCAGAGTTAACAAGTGCATCTGCCACATTTTTGCCCACTCAGTTTTGTGAGATCTTTCTGCAGCTCTTTACCACGGTGCTTAGGATTTGATGACCTGGAAAAATTTAGTATCACCTACACACTTCACAAGTTCATTGTGCACTCCCTTTTCCAGGTCCTTTATGAAAATATTGAACAAAACCAGGCCCAGGATAGATCCCTGGGAGACCTCACTAATGACCCTCCTCCATCCTGAAAAATGACCATTTAGCACTAGAGCCTTTTTTCTCATCTCTTAACCAGCTTTTGACCCATGAAAGGACCTTCCCTTCAATCCCGTGGCAATTCAGTTTTTGGTTTTTTTCTTTTCAAGAAGCCTTTGGTCAAGGGTCCTTGTTAAAGCCTTAGTGAAAATCCAAATATATTACATCAGGGATACCTGAGAAGGCCCATGGGAGTATGTGTGGGCAGGCGAGGACGGAGTGCCGCCCTGCATGATCCTGTGCTGCTGCATAGGTGCCACCCACCCGGCCGGACGCAGGGGTGGGGGAAGCTTGCACACAGTGGCTGCCACTGCTTCGCATCCAGCCTTGCGCCCTGCTGTGTCTGGCCGTGTGCCACCCCCCTTGTACTCTCCTCCCCCAGCACGGCCGGCTGCTGGGGGTACATTGATCCAAAAAGATTGAAAACCCCTGTATTACATCAACTGGATCAGCCTTAGTCACAGAAAAGTCGGGCTGCAAGGGACCTCCAGAAGACGTCTAGTCCAACCCCCTGCCTGAGGCAGGATCATCTCTAATCCAAACCATCCCTTACAAACCATAATCTAAACTCTGCATAAGACCGCCATCAACTCCTGACACAACACACACCTAACACCCTAACCTGCCACAGGTAAAACACGGAAACCATGAGGCAGCCTAACACCCTCAAAGAAATCCAGGAGAGTGGCTGGGTTAGGCATCTCCCCCATCCTCGGCATGCTGAGTGTTGTGAATTTTGAACCTAAGTGGCTAAACCTACACCTATGAAGTATAAGAAACTTGAGCACCCAGTGTGGGTTTGTGAATTCTCCCCCAGAGTCAGGAACCTAGCTTTTAGGTACGGAAATGCCTCGTACTGCAATAACTTTTTGCATTTCTATTTCTCTTACTGAGAGTTGTCCATTAGTGGTTGACTCCTGCTCAGAAACATGCAGGGCTATGATTTTCTATGTCAAGTTTTATCCTCCTCTTAATTCTTTTCCGTACGGTCTTTAAAATGGTGCCAATGGGTTAGGGACTATCAACAGTTATGATACATTTTAAGGAATTTGTTCACAATGCCCTATAAACATTAGGTGGAAAGAGAACCATTAACAGTCATAAATCATCATCAGGAATCTGGATTTTCCATTTACCACAGAAAAATGCAGAAAGACGTGGATCTTCTTCTCATTTTAAGGAGAAAAATGTGGGAAATGGCAGGTTTTCCCTTGAAGGCTGACAGAGTTTTTTAAAATCAGAGAATTTGCCGTTTTTACAGAGAGGAAAACAGAATCCCGAGTTATTATAATGTGTTATTTGCTTAAGCAGCAATTTTTATCAGGGCAGTAAAATACATAAAAAAGAGAAAAAGGAGCAAACAGAGCATTTTCTACCTCACTATCTGGACTGGGCTGGATAACTTCCCATGTTTGAGAGTCTACATCATAGCAGTGAAGTTCATTAGGTAATGTATTATCTGCTGCACCACCAAACACATAGAGATGACGATCAAAGGCAACCATGGTATGGCCATATCTTCGCTGTGGAGGAGGAGGAGAACCCCGAAGTAGGTGCTCGGTAGGAATTCGTGTCCAACTGAGAAAAAGATATGAAACAGAGTAAATCTTTTAAAATTCCTTACTGAAAAACTGAGGTTTGAAAATTAACTCCCCAAGAATACCCTAAAGATTATACGGATTAGACAAGCAGAAGTTGACAGGGTGGTACCTTACAGACTCACTGATTCAGAAAGGCATGCGTGAGCTGTTGTAGGCAACAACCTACTTCATCAAATGCTATGATATAGTTGTGTACTAAGTCATAGCAACTGACAAAGTACTGAGTATGGTAGCTATTATTTCAAACAAATCTCTTCGATTTTCTTTTTTGCAAGAAGTTTGTATCTAGCCAAAGCAAAAGGGCAAGCTACCATATCATCAATATAGTATCCAAATCAGCCTGATAAGTCTCTAATTAAAAAAGAAGGGAGTTAGGATTAGAAAGAACAGTTACCTTGAATTATGAAACAAAGTCCTTTCCTTAATATTATTATTACGATGCCTTTTCACTCTAAGCAGAAGAATGTGTAGGTGAGTTCACCTGAATTAGATACTTACATTTTTTCCTTGAATTCAAACTGAAAGAGATTGTTGGTGATCTTTGCTCCGCTCTGGCCTGAAAACACAAACATCTTGTCTTTGCAAACAGCCACAGGAAAATTACAGCATGACGGAGGGATCTCGCCGCTCTGTTCAATCTGAAAAGTAGCAAAATCCAAAGTGAATAATTAATTTTCCAAATTGCACTACAAGATTCCATGCACATGGCAGGAATATACTACTAAATCAAGATCCACCATAACGAAGCCATCTGAAACCATGCTGCCAACTGAATGATTATAAATTTGGTTAAAGTGTATAGAGACTTAACTTGTTCATATAAGTGTCTAGAACAGCAGATGCTCATTTGCAGTGACATATCAGTGCTCTGGTGCTACGCAGCTCCTAATCAGCTGATGCTGATACAAGGGAGTGTTGTCTAAACAACAGCAACCGTTTTTTTTTCTGATATGTATACAGCTACAGTATTTTTTTTCTTAAATTCATTTACTGAACATTTACATTACAAATTGAGATAATCTGTTATGTAATAATGCAATGCATTTTATTATTGTTATTGCAGTATTAACGACAGTGTACTGCAGGGGTTCCCAAACTGTGGTATGCGTACCCCTGGAGATACATAAGACATCTCTGCGGGGACGTACACAGGAGAAATTGTGTAATGGCAGATTTAATTTTCATTATAATAATAATTGGCATTTAAGGGATAAAAATAGTAAATATCTGCTGGTAGGGATATGGGGGCAGCTGGTAAATCTGGAAGGGGGTACACAGTAAGAAAAAGTTTGGAAATGTCTGGTGTACAGTGTATTCATTACCTTTTAAACACTAAATCACAGGGTTAGAAGAGACTTCTAGGGTCATCTGGCCCCACTCCCTGAATTAAATGCAGTAATGATTATTCCCTACATCATCCCTGAGCACTACCGTTCACTAGCCTGTGTCCATTTTTACAAAGTTTTCTGAGAGCTGAAAAGCATTTGGGGAGGTGAGGGGAGTGTTCACACACACTGTATCAAAGTAGGATTGATTGAGTGGGTGGAAATGGAGATTTCTTAGCTAGGTAGAACAGCCACCATTAAAACAAAAATACTGCTAAAACTTCTCTTTTTATTCCAATGTTTACCTATGCGTATACAAAAGAGAGCGATTCATAGGCTTGGCAAGCTGTTCTCCTGAAATTCAGCTGGAAAAAGAAGAGGGTGAATGCATCAGTATTACACAGGCAATTTACGATTGGAGATCTTGCATCCCCCAATGTAATGGCACATTATCAACACACCACAGTTGAAGTATATTACCAACTAGTGTGTAAAACTTAATTCCAAGCTACGGGTTGCAATAGAATGAGAATCGTAAAAGTAAATTGATTTTCCAGGTGTATGCTGGGGAAGAAAGAAATTCAGGTCCCAAAACTGGATCTAGACTACTTTGAGATCCCAAGGTAAGTATGAAAAGTTATTTTTCCCTCATTCTTCCCTGTTAACCACCTTTGTTAGAAATAAAGAATTCCTCCCTAGAACTTATCAAACGTGCAGCTCTATATGATAATCCTAAATGGGTAAGAGTCTATTTTTTTCAAAACAATTATTTTTAAAAGTTCTCATTAGATCACTTACCCCTTTTGAGCAACTGATATATGGGGACCCAAGAGAAAAAGAATTAATCTAAAAAATTTATGTAATTTCAATAAAGATAAGGACAAGTAGGAATACTAAGCGAATGCAGGCTTGGGAAAGAGAGCTGGGGAAAGAAACTGAGCTGAAGCAATGGATAGCAATATAGGAACAGGGTTATTAGGTGTGCTCCGACAGAGATTTTGGGGGCCGATAATGATAGCCAATATTTAAGGAGGCATATCAGCCAATACCAATCCGATTTCCGGTACAGCTGCCTCCAGCTGGTAAGTCTGTTGTGGTGGAAGGGGCGGGAAGGGGTGTGGGGGGTGCAGATCAACACCCCCCCACCCCATGTTAAAGG